AACCGAAATATTCCAATTACAATTTAGAACCGAAACTCGATATTTAGAGTTTATTAAAATCCCGGAACGGACGGTTCATGTTCCGAACTGAAAAAATAAAATACATTTATTGTTGAATTTAGACTATTTTTAAAATAAAAATAAAATTTTAAAATAAAAACGGTTCAAAATCGCGAATCGGGTCTGGAACCGCCAGTTCACGGTTCAGGATCCAATTTTTTTGATTCATAATTTTAATAAATTGAAATCCAAATATTGGGTTCTAGATCTGAATCATAACCGGAAACTTTTAATTCGATTGCTATAGTGTCCGATTCAGTTCGAACCGAATCGTAGTCATCCCTACGTATACGCAATAATTTGTTGGAGAAGTAAAATAAATAAAATGTTTATTTTAAGGGTATAAATGTCAATTTAATATATTAGGGGGGGAAAACAACCACTTTTAGAATAATTGAAGGGGCTAATGTGCTTACCTAAATAATTGAGGGGGAAAAAGTGCTATAAGTATATAACTCAGGGAGAAAAAGTGTCATTTTCCCTTAATAAAACAAAAGGTTCTCATATTTTTTTTCTTAGAAACTATTTAATAAAACACTTTTTTTTTAGAAATTGGTGGGCCAAACCGCCTACGGCAGTTTGCGGTGGATAGATCTCAAAAAATTACGCGATTTCAAAAAAACATTTGTCCAAAACGGACAACCGAGTCAAAAGTTATGCCTTGCCGAACTTTTGACACTGCACAACTTTAACCCATAATTATTGTACGAATGAGAAAGTAGAAATCAATATATTTTATTGTGAAGAGAGATTTTTTAGGAATTGGGCGAAAAGTTAAAATTTTAGGATTTTGTTATTATACTAGTTTTTTACGCGCATTGCGCGATTGAGATAATGCCCAATGTTTTTTTTTTTTTTTTAAATAAGTACTTTAAAGTATATTAAGGCAAGATTATATTGGAATTGTTCATAATTAAATGTTAAATTTGCGTATTTAAATAGGCAATTCGATCTAAGTTTACAAGTGCAAGATAATATAGTCAAGATTGATTATAATTGTCAATAAAGTAATTGTATAGGTATGGTTGAAACCAAATACGGGACATAAGGGAGAGCAAATAAAAATTAGGACATAAAATATTAAATATATATTAATATTGAAGAGCTAACTGTTGATTGCCAACTAAGGACATTGCGAGATAGTTTCTCACTTCAATTTGTTGCGTGATTTGAATACTCTTTTTTGTCAATAAATCTCCCAAATAGTTAATATGATTGACTTAATTATATTTTTTTATTTTTTTAAACAATTATTATTATTATTATTATTATTATTATTATTATTATTATTATTATTTTATTATTATTATTATTATTATTATTATTATTATTATTATTATTATTATTATTATTATTATTATTAAATATATATATACCCTTATGTCATTTTACATGTTAATCTAAACAACTAATTTTTTCAAATATCTTTTTACCAACCTTTGATATAATTCGCTGGTCAAATTCGGCAATATAATCCGCTAACGCTAATCGCTAACTGCTGATTGTCAAACAAGGACATTGCGAGACAGATCTCACTTCAATTTGTTGTGTGATTTTAATACTCTCTTTGTCAATAAATCCCTCAATTAGATAATATAATTAGCTTTATTAATTATATATTTTTAAATTTTTTCATGGTATTAATAAAATAGTTGGTAAATAAATATATAGCATTATTTTGTATTATAACTTTGATATTTAATTAAAAAATAGTACACAAAAAAAGATAATAGACAATGTAGTGAATATAATCAATTAATGAATTTGAATGTAAAGAATTTTTACATTGGAGAAATATAAAGACAATATAACTAATAAAATTATTTCTCTTAATTAATTTATTGATAATGAATATTTTTTTTTATAAAGACATTATAGGGACAATGTATGGAATATAATCAATTGATGAATTTGAATGTAAAGAATTTTTATATTGGAGAAAAATAAATACAATATAACTAATGAAATTATTTCTCTTATTGATAATGATTAATTTTTTTGAATAAAGACATTGTAGACACATAATTCTAAATTAATGAAATACATATGTATTATTTTTTGTTGTAGTTACTAAATTATTATTTATATAATTTAATAAGAGTAAAATAGAGTACTAATTATGCCAACTTTGATTAGGATGAGATTCGAACCTAAGACCTTTCTTATTGAAATCAATGAGTAAATTAACGGTGAACTGACAGAAATTAACGGAAAAGATAATATTTAACGGAAAAGTTAACGGAAAATCATATTCATTAAGGATAAATTAGTAAATCTTAAGGAAAAATTAAAATCTGATCAATCTGAGCCATTCATTTGATTAAAAAATTTAACCGCCATTTTTTCTACCCATTATAGGCCTAACTCTCTTGGGCTCTTATTAGTATAGTAGATAGTAGATATAGTATAGATTAGATGTGCAAATGGAATTGTATTACACTATTTTATTTTATAATTTTAGAATAGAATTTTTACCCAGAATTATTGTATGAATGAGAAAGTAGAAATCAATATATTTTATTGGGAAGAGAGATTTTTTAGGAATTGGGCGAAAAGTTAAAATTTCAGGATTTTGTTATTATATATAGTATAGATTAGATGTGCAAATGGAATTGTATTACACTATTTTATTTTATAATTTTAGAATAGAATTTTTACCCAGAATTATTGTAGGAATGAGAAAGTAGAAATCAATATATTTTATTGGGAAGAGAGATTTTTTAGGAATTGGGCGGAAAGTTAAAATTTCAGGATTTTGTTATTATATATAGTATAGAAGTATAGATAGTATAGATTAGATGTGCAAATGGAATTGTATTACACTATTTTATTTTATAATTTTAGAATAGAATTTTTACCTATAATTATTCTACGAATGACAAAGTAGAAATCAATATATTTTATTGGGAAGAGAGATTTTTTAGGAATTCGGCAGAAAGTTAAAATTTCAAGATTTTGTTATTATATATAGTATAGATTAGATGTGCAAATGGAATTGTATTACACTATTTTATTTTATAATTTTAGAATAGAATTTTTACCCAGAATTATTGTACGTATGGGAAAGTAGAAATCAATATATTTTATTGGGAAGAGAGATTTTTTAGGAATTAGGGGGGAAGTTAAAATTTCACGATTTTGTTATTATATATAGTATAGATGATTAAAATAAAAACCAATATAACAAGAGAGATGCATGCCTTTGCATTTGCAATATAATAACACTTGAAACTAATTTTTGAAATTCCTAACATATGGTCAAGGGGTCTCATGAGGAATATAATAATATAAATTTTGTAGAGTAATATGTTATTGTTATTAGTCGTCATTGCTAAAAATAAGTAAATAAATAAAGATACTATGTCATCAAATCAATGTTGGTTAACCAACATAGTTGTCGTGGTGGTTTAAGAGTCGTTATATCATGGACTGTGGTGCACGACTGCACGTGCACCGTAGTCAAAACGGCGCAGTTTCTTTAGGTAAAGAAATGGCGTGCCGTTAGTGTTAACGAAACGCGCATTTGTATGTTAATTACCAACTGACACTACTGTATATCTGAACCGGCACTGCCTCACGTATTATTTTTATATTACACGGCCTCTTGATGGAAATACTAACGGTGGGACTAAAAGTGGAACACATTCAATAATAGTGGTTATAAAGTGGCAAAAAAAATTAAGGTGAACTAAAATTGGAAACGCCCCTATAACAGTAGGACCAAAAATAGAATTCACTCTTAATAAAACTATAATGTATATAAAATAAAATTATTGATAAAAATAATTTTGTTAATAAGGAAATATGAAAATGGGATCATAGTGAAATATGAAAAAGAGAATTGTGTAGATAAAAGTAAATAGTGAATAATTATAAATTTTGTGATTTGACAATTTGAAAATGAGAGAAGATTGAGGCCTTGTTTGGAAACATAGTTAATAAGCTAATTTTGGCTGGTTGGACTAAGTTTGACTGTTCAATAGGCTACATTAAGTGTTTGGTAAAATGGCTTATTGGGGTAATAAGCGGATTGACCTTAATTATGAAATTACCATTTTACCCATATCATCCCTAACATTTATATCCCTCTTGTTGTTGTTCATCTGCCTTGCCCCTTTTTCTTTTTGTTTTAGTAACAAAAATAATAATGTTTTTCTTTCTTTTTGATTTCACTCATCCTTGTAATCCATAATAATAATAAGTCAACACAATATGTTAATGTTCTTATAGGTCATTTTTACATACAATCAGCTAAAAGTAAATAATTAATTTATCAAACACTTTTCTAGAACCAGTTAATATTATCAACTTGTCAAACTAGCTAATCCAATTAGTTAACATAATCAACTATCAGCCATTTGCCAAACACCTCTTTCAAGGTTACGGATAACCTTGAAAGGATGGCTCTTAGCTTGTACAACTAGAGTGCATTATTGTAGCGGAAAAGGTCCCCAACATTTTCCTCTCTTTTTTTATGCTTATCTCAAACCTCTTAGACTACTACTCTTCTTAAAGTCACATTCACATTTCTCATACAAAGAAAACACAAAGAAAAAAAAATGAGTGAGGGAGAGAGATGGCTTGTGTTGCTTTAGCTTCTCTCATGTCAACAATTCAGCTTGAGTTTCTCCAACCCTTCCCAAGGGTGCTTCTTCATCATCAACCACCAATCCAATCTTTCTTTGATACCATTTCTTCATTGCAAGCCTTTGTACAGGAATCCAGTGGTGGTGCTGCTGCAATCAAAGATTTGGAAATCAAAATCAGAGACTTTGCACTCAAAGCCGAAGACAACATCGAAATACAAGTAAGCAACTTTGTTTTGGCCAAAGACAGTAGAGAGGATTAGGAAAAAGCTTCCCATGATCTCCATCAAGCCTTGCAAGAAGCAGCCGAAAACGCATCAGAATTACTGAATATTATCAACAACATAAGCAATAATGAAGCTGATGATGATGATGAAGACAACAATGAAACACATCAACCATCAATTCGATCATTCGCTAAAACGGAATGGATCCTCCCGGCGGTTTCCTAAGCTTGTGGGCAGAATGGTGGGTCGTGACTATGATCGTCAGGAGATACTCTGGATGCTCCGCTTTGGCCAAAGTAATCTAAAGCTAATCTCAATTGTTGGGATGGTGGGCATAGGGAAGACTACTTTAGCCAAATGTGTGTATGGAGATCCAGATGTGGTAAAAGATTTCAATCAATGTAGTTGGATTACTGTGCCTCAAGAATGCAACAAGCGCCAAATACTAGGCCTCCTGCTCCGGTCAATTTCACCGTCATCGGAAAATAAAATTGGAAATGAGGGCGCCACTGATGAAGAACTAGTTGTGGAGGTATGCCGTCAGTTGTCTGGCAAAAGGTATCTAATTGTATTTGATAACATACAGGACCATCCAGTTTTGAAATATATCCGGTTGTGTTTTCCTGAAAACAATAATACAAGCCGCATATTGCTAACCACTACATACTTCAATTGGAAAAAATACATCAAAAGATATAACTGCATCGAAATCCATAACATGACTTTGCTAGATTCACATGAATGTTGGAATCTATTCTGCAGTGTCTTTTCTCGTAATAAGGAGTGTATGACACATAAACTTGAAAAAATTAGGTGCGATATTGTAGAAACATGTGATGGACTACTGTGGTCAATTGTTGTAGTTGCAAAGAGTCTATCCAAATACAGAAACATATTGAAGGGGTGGGAGAAGATTAAAAAGGAAACAGAGACACTGGGAATTCTAGATCGCAATGCTCTCATTCATGATTACAACAAATTGCCACAACATTTGAAAGTTTGCTTTTTGTATTTTGGAGTTTTTCCAAAACGCAAAGAGGTCTTAGTGAAAATGCTTATTAGGTTGTGGATTGCTGAAGGATTTGTGAATCTAGAGCCATTGGTGTATCCAGAGTTAGAAACCCAAGCTTATGCATATGTAGAAGAACTTTTTGCTAGAAGTCTTGTATTAATAAGCAGTGAGGATTCTGATGACAAGATTAAGAGTTGTAGGATGCATAGTGCTTTGCATAGTTTTTGTGTTGGAGAAGCTCAAAAAGAGGGTATTTTTTGTGTAGTAAACACTCTCCAGCATTCAAGATTGCCATTAGGGGAGTTTGCTAATTCTTGTCGATGGTTAAGTTTATACACACATAGTTTCGACTATTATGTGTTGTTGAGGGTTTGGAGGATATAGTGGCAAGCACACACATAGTTGCAAGTGCTTACTGTGTCTCATAAGGAGGGAACAAGTTCTTTTCAAAATGGTATGCTGCGTTTGCCATCTAAAATTTGGGAGACACAATCACAAATAATAAGGCATGTTGAGGTTAGCTATTCCCTTTCAATGGATCCTCCTCCTCCTGGCAAGGCTAAAGAGTCATTGCAGACATTATATTGGTTGAGTCTAGAGCATTGTACAGAGGAAGTGTTTTCAAGAATTCCAAATGTGAAGAAGTTGGGGATCATTTGTGGATGGGTAGAGGAGTGTGCTCATAACCTTCAAAATCTTCAATATTTGGGTAAGCTTGAGAAATTAATGATTGCATACCGGAAAGGCTCGCTGTCTGGCGGCCTCCTGTATCTGAGGCACTATTTGCCAGTATGCCTATACATCAAGAAATTGAAACTGAAGAGAACTTCTTCGCCTTGGAGTGAAATAAATGAAATTGGCTCCAGGCTTCCTTGTCTTGAGGTGCTCAAACTGAAAGAAGCCTCCTATGGTTCAAAATGGAAAGCCTGCACTGAATTTCGAACTTCTTGGAATAATCTAAAATCCTTGTTCGTAGAATCTGAAAACCTCGTTTCTTGGGAACTTTATGAGCGTCAATTTCCTTACCTTCAGCGCTTAGCCCTTAAAAAGTGTTGGAGTTTGAAAGCGATTCCAACAGACTTTGAAACTATCAGCCATCTAAGGTCAATTGAAGTAAAAAGTTGTCCCCCTTCTGTTTTGAAGTCCGCCCGTTCAATTAATTGTAACCGGCAGAAGGAATATGGATTCTTCCCCATTGCTATTCGACATGGTCTGTCTCCTACTCTCTTCTCTGAGTTAATCTCACACTGTTTCTTTTTTCTTTAAATAATTTTTGTTTTCATTTTATCCTAATTGATTTTTGTCATTTGTTGTAATGACAGAATTAATCGAAGAAAGAGATGATGATGATTCTCTCGAATAAATGAATGGTATATAGCTACATACATTTGTTCGTTTCTTGTATATTAATTTGCAATTAAGGGTCCGTTTGGAAAGCAGGAAAATGACTTCTGGAAAATGTTTTTTGGAAAATGAGTCATTTTCCGGAAAACATTTTCATTTCCAGTGTTTGGTTGCATTATGGAAAACTGTTTTTCTGTGTTTGGTTCATTTTCTGGAAAATGAATAGAATTGTATAATTAAACATTTTAATTATTTTATTTAGAATACTACAACATGTATAATAATATGTAATGATATAATATTAATTTTAAATATAATAAAAAATAGTTAAGTTTTTCAAAAAAAAAAAAAACTAATAATATATCAAAAATATTATGGTGGTGGTGGTGGTGTAGTGGTAGTGGTGTTATTCGTTATATAATAATAATAATCATAATAATAATAATAATAATAATAATAATAATAATAATAATTGGTGGTGGTATGACGGTGGTGGTGTGGTGGCGGTGGTGGTAGCGGTGGTATGGTCGTGGTGGTTGCGGCGGCGGCGGTGTGATGGTGGTGGGGGTGGTTGCGGTGGTATGGTGGTGGCAGCGGCGACGGTGGTTGCGGTAGTATGCTGGTGGTGGCGGCAACGACGGTAGTGGTGTTGGTGTGATGGTGGTGGTAGTATGACGGTGGTGGCAGTGGTCGTGTGGTTGCGGTGGTGGTGGTGGTGGTGGCGGCGACGGTGGTTGCGGTGGTATGGTGGTGGTGGTGGCGACGGTGGTTGCGGTGGTATGGTGGTGGTTGTAGCGGCGGTGGCGGCGGTGTGATGGCGGTGGTGTGGTGGTGGTGGCAGTGGTATGGTGGTGATGGCGGTGGCGGTGGTATGATGGTGATGGCGGTGGCGGTGTATGGTGATAGTGGTGGCGGCGATGGTGGTTGTGGTGGTATGGTGGTGGTGGCGGTGGTAGCGGCGACGGTGGTTGCAGTGGTATGGTGGTGGTGGTGGTGGTGGCGGCGACGGTGGTTGCGGTGGTATGGTGGCGGTGGTTGCGGTGGTATGGTGGTGATGGCGGCGGCGGTGGTATGGTGGTAGTGGTGGCGGCGACGGTGGTTGCGGTGGTATGGTGGTGGTGGTGGCGACGGCGGTGGTGTGGTGGTGGTGGCGGTGGTATGGTGGTAGTGGTGGCAGCGATGGTGGTTGTGGTGGTATGGTGGTAGCGGCGGTGGTAGCGGCGACGGTGGTTGTAGTGGTATGGTGGTGGTGGTGGTGGCGGCGACGGTGGTATGGTGGCGGTGGTTGCGGTGGTATGGTGGTGATGGCGACGACGGTGGTATGGTGGTAGTGGTGGCGGCGACGGTGGTATGATGGTGGTGGTGGCGGCAGCGGTGGTGTGAAGGTGGTGTAGTGGCGGTGGTATGTGTTAGTGGTGGCGGCGGCGATGGTGGCGGTGGTGGTGGTGGTGGTGGTGGTGGTGGTAGTGGTTACGGTGTTGGTGGTGTGATGGTGGCGGGGTTATAGTGGTGGTGGCGGCGGCAATAGTGGTGGTGATGGTGGTATGGTGTTGATGATGTTGGTGGTGGTGTGATGTTGGTGTAAAAGTTGGAAAATGACTTCCCCCAAAAAAAAGGGGAAGTCATTTTCCTCCAAAACAAGCCTATTTTCCAAAGTCAACGGAAAATGAATTCCGTTGACTTGATTTTCCAGGCACATCCAAACACTAGAAACTTGAAAAATGATTTCCAGAACTCATTTTCCAGGTTTCCAAACACACCCTAATTGCCCATTTATAATACTTGTGACTCTAAAGAGTGCTTGGTGAATTTACGCAAATTATGCTGTGGACTGTGTCCACAATACATTGTGGACACGAGTCTAAAACGACGTCGTTTTCAGGAAAAACATGGCATTTCAGTTAAAATTTTTTTTTTTTTTTGATTTTGTCTCGTCGTTAACGACGTTAACGGCGTTATTCGTTTGTTCCATTATGAATGTACAATTATGGAATTATGAATGTACAGTTATGGAATTATGAATGTAAGTTATAAAATTATGAACACAGAGCTCTGACATTATGAACATATAGTGATAAAATTATGAACATAGAGTTTCGAAAATTATGAATTTACAGTTATTGAATTATAAATGTACAGTTATGCAATTATGAATGTACAGTTATGGAATTATGAACTTACAATATGAACATATAGTGATAAAATTATGAACATAGAGCTCTAAAATTGTGAACATAGAGCTTCAAAAATTATGAAGTTACAGTTATTGAATTATGAATGTGCAGTTACGGAATTATGAATGTACAGTTATGGAAGTATGAATGTACAGTTATGAAATTATAAACACAAAGCTCTGACATTATGAACTTACAATTATGAACATATAGTGATAAAATTATGAACATATACTCCTATAACGAAGCGGTCTGAAATTAAAAAAAAAAGTGGAAGATAACGGTGCTACTAACTGCACCGTTATCCGTGTCCTCAATGCATGTTGGACACGGTCCACAACATAACGATTGGTGAATTTATGGGTCAGTTAGTTTAAATTCTAGCCCTCCTTCCAATCGTTATACCGTGCACCAGGGCGCACATAGCACTGTGCGCCCCGCGCCTCCCAAAATGACGTCGTTATGTTAAGTTGTTAAAAAAAATCCCTTAGTTTCGAATGCACATAAACTCATAACAGAATACACATAAACTCATAACACAATACACATAAACTTTTAATTGAATACACATAATGAGTTTGGTTAACATAATACACATAAACTCTTAATTGAATACACAAACTCATAACACAATACACATAAAATTTTAACTGAATGCATATAATGAGGTTTGGTCTGTTCGGATGGACAGAGTGATGTCAGTATGACGTCAGCATGAAACGCGCGTGTTTTGTGCCTGGGCGCACATTGCTATGTGCGCCCAAGAAATTAGTGATAATCGGGAGATGTATGGAAGCAAACCCATCATTATTCGCCATGGTCTGCCTCTTTTCGGATCGTTATGCTGTGCATCCGTATGCACCATGCATGGTGCATACGGATGCAAAAACGACGTCGTTTTATTAAAAACGTGCATTCCACTTAAAAAAAAAAAAATCAGTTTCGATTCCCCTCAACAACATTATGTTGTTCATTCATTCTGGAATTTTATTTCATAGATTCTGGAATTTTAGTTCGTAGATTCTGGAATTTTAGTTCATCGATTCTGGAATTTTAGTTCATTGATTCTGGATTTTTAGTTCGTTCATTGATTCTGGATTTTTAGTTCATTGATTCTGGATTTTTAGTTCATTGATTATGAATATTTAGACGTGAATCGAAATTGATTTTTTTTTTTCATTCATGCTGGATATTTAGTTCATTCATTATGGATATTTAGTTCATTCATTATGAATTTTTAGTTCATTCATTCTGGAATTTTAGTTCATAGATTCTGGAATTTTAGTTCATTGATTCTGAAATTTTAGTTCATTAATTCTGAATATATAGTTCAAATTATGCACAATATAATGTTGTTGCTGGGAATTGAAACTGAATTTTTTTTTTTTTAAGTGAGAGGCGCGTTTTTAATAAAACGACGTCGTTTTTGCATCCATATGCACCATGCATGGTGCATACGGATGCACAGCATAATTTGCCCCTCTTTTCCATCTCTCAGAGTATGTCTTTTTTTGAATTATAAATTTTGTTCAATTTATTCTTAACTGCTTTTTTGTCATTTGATTTAATTACAGTGGACCAAATACAAGAAGTTGATGATGTTGAGGATGATGATGATGATTCTTATGAATAAACGAATTGAATGGTACGTGTGAATTGCAATTAAATTACCTATGTATGTATTACATGTCCTAATTTTAGCACTGACCTCAGCCTGAGCACATCTATCATCACTAGATTTTTATTTTTTAACTTTTACAAAAATAATTGAGAGTAAACTCATATTACCGCATGCATCTAATTGAGTTTCTTAATTGTGTATGAGCATTAATTTAAATGTATTTATATTTTGATACGTATCAGGATGTTTGAAGTGTATTATTTCCACAGGGTTATATTAGCAAGGATTTGCAGTGTGCCCAATTCATAGGAGTCTGCTTCTGGTGATTCATACAATTTGAAGTTTGCTTTTTAGTTATCATTGAAATACTGAATTCATAAAGCTTTACTTTTTGTTGTTTGGAATGATGATTGTGTTGTGTATAATGCTGTAAACTATTGAGTTTATTTTATAAGAATGCATGCTCTGTATCTGATGGATTATATGAACCCGGGGGTCCGGATTATACAACCCGAATATATGTTTGAATATAACGAACGAATAATGAAACGGTAAATATTGTATTAATTGGATATAAAACGCTATTACAGAGGTTCGGGACGTGTAATAACAAGACAAATGTTGTAGGAAAAGTATGAGATGCCTAATTAGGACACCGGGGGGTGTTTATATACTCCCCGGCTGCTACGGGCCCTGGGCCCGCGGGAGGAGCAGCGGTCCGCGCCGCGGAACTCGCTCCACGCGAGGACCCGGCCCTTGGCCGAGCACGGAGCTCGGCCAAGGGGCCGAGGCCGAGCCCACGTGTCCGAGCCCATGGGGCTCGGCCGAGCTCGGGGAGGTCGGCCCACCGGGCCGACCCCGGGGTGGTTGGCCGACCTCGGGGTGGTTCGTCCTGCATCGCGGGTGGGCACGGGGTCCGACCCGGTTCGTATTGTCCTGCTCCGCTCCGGCTCCGTGATTATTCCATCATCAGTCCCCCACTCTCGGGGCTGCGAGGAGTCGTCAGCGCGAGAGAGTAAAATGAATTCAATAATTACGGGGCCCTGAACCATGTTCCCCAAAAAATTCAACCTCGCCTCCTGTAGAATTCTTGGCGCGATAGGACTCCTAACCGAACTGGAAGTCACTCCTGTGTTCATTATTATCAGTTTAAGAGTCCTCATCCTACTACAATCCTTCCACTTCCCCTTTAAATACCCCCTCCATCTTCCCAAACCTCCTCACATTCCCAACACCACACCTTTCCCTCTCCCCCAAAATTTCCCCCCTTTTCCAAAAAAAATGTCTTCTCTTTTTCCCCCTCCCTCCCCTATATAAAGTAGCATTCCCTTCACTCCCCCCACACACACAAAAGCTCCACACAAATCTGAAATTTCTCTCCCTCCCCTCCCCCAAATTTTCCGGCCAACACCCTGCCGCCGTCCGCCGTCCGCCGCCGCCAGCCGCCGCTCACTGTCGTTCAGCCGCCGCCTGCCGACCAGCCGACCCCAGCTGACCCCAGCCCCTGCCGAGGCAGACCCCGAGCTGCCGCCGACCGACCCCAGCCCCCGCCGAGGCCGACCCATGCTCCACCGCGTCCTCCCTCCGTGCCCTGTTTGTTCATCCCCTCCTTGCTTGAGTCGGGTGAGACTCGTGCAAACCCTCTTTTAGAGTTCCGTAGTTAGCTTTTTATGAGTATAGTGCCTCTTGCCGAGGACACGCATCCGGTAGACCTACCTTTGATTATCAATTATTGGCCCATCCTAGACTCCATTGACTACGAGGACCTCCCGTCTAGTGATGACGAGTCTATTGACTTAGACCGGTTTCCTTCCCCCTACGTTGAGCACTATTACATTGAGTACCCGTACATAGATCCGTTAGCCACGCATCCCCCCTTCATGTTAACTCCTACGCCACTCCCGGATCCCTTCCCCTTGAGTCAGTACACGGTACTTGACTCCGCCATCCCTCGGGGATTCGGGTCCTCCTTGAATCCTCACGATATCGCCATGGCGAAGGCCTTGGTCGGCCCGTCGGCTGTGGTCCACGTCCCGACTCCCGGGACAACTATACTAGAGCCTCCCGGACCCAATTTTTTTGGGGTCTATGTTACATCTCTCCTCATGGATTTAGCTTTCCCTCTTCACCCCTTCACCATTGAGCTCCTGAAATTTCATTGTATATCTGTGGGTCAGCTAGTCCCTAACTCCCATCGGGCTGTGGCGGCCTTTATTGTTCGGTGTGTCTTTTTTCACCGCGACCAATTCCTCGTCCAAGGAGAGCAAGGGGTACATGGCGTATGCGGCTCGGCCGGGGACGAAGATTATGGGACACGTACGGGATTTCAACAAGGGTTGGAAGCCCCGGTTCGTGTTTGTCTCTACAGGCGAGGCGCTCCCTTTTGAGGTGCCTTGGGGTGGGTACTTTCGTAAGTGCCGTTGCCCGCGGTCCACCCCGGAGCTTGAGGTCCTGGCCTACGAGTTTTTGGGCGAGACAGCTGATATGTTAGACTCCCAGGCCCTCGTTGATCACGAAAGTCTTTGGTCAGGGCGGGCTTTTCTCACTACCTCCCTCCTCCGCCTCCTCGTGGTGCTCCTGCCCCTCCTCCAGACTCCGCGGGGGAGACCGAGGAGGAGTCTGCGAGCGATGATTCAGAGGATGACGACGTTATTGAGTTGTGAGCCGGACATTCGACTCCTCCTCCTACCAGTTCTGGTTTGTCACCTCGTCGACGTGCATGTGTGCCTGTTTGTTTATGCGTTTTCGTTTGAAGTGCTCACTGACTTGTCTTGGTATAGGTATGGCTCCCCGTCGCGCCGCTATCATGAACCTTATTGAGAGCTTGTGGAACCGTGGCGACGAGGACTCGAAGCGCCGCAAGACTGGCGAGACTAGCCATGCTACCTCGGGCGTCCGGGTTCCCCAGGTCCCCGGGTATCGCGCAGCCGCGAGACGAGGTCTGCCACTGACGCGGACCACCTGTCGGATGGTCGTCCGGCCGACCCCACTCCTCGAGCTCCGATGACTACGGCGCCGCACTAGGGTGCCTTGACTGATTAGTCCATCCACCTCCCGCCTGCAGCCTCGATACGTTGCGGGGATGTCCCCCCGGAGGCCTTTATGCGCAGCCTCCTCCTTCCCCGCGACGCGGCCATGCACGAGGACCATGCCATCTTCCGCCCTTTGCTAGAGGTACGTACCCTTTTCTGATGACGATGTGTTTTCTTGTTCCTTGTTATCTTGTCTTCTACTTATGCTTGCCCTTGTATAGGCGGTTGTCCGTGCCGCGTCCATGGAGAAGGTTCTAGGGAGTACCCGCAAGCAGCTGGAGGCCGAGATGCGGGCTCGCCAGGACGTGAGCGACAAACTTGCGGCGCTGGAGGGTCAGTATGATGAGTTGATTGCCAGCCGGTTGCGGGAGCGTGCAGCGCATCAGGTGGCCCTGAAGGAGGCTTCGAGGGTGGCTATTACGGGTTACAAGAACTCCCAGGCCTTTGTCCAGGATACGAAGGCCTATATCTCCGCGCACCCCCAGGAGACCTTGACTTAGCTTTCGAGCTTCCCCGAGGGGAATGAATGTTTGGGTTTGCAGGGGATGGAGATGTACGAGGCGGGGGAGTCCTCCATGCAGAGCAAGATCTATTCCATCCTTCGTGCCAGAGATGCATCCTTTGACCCCGCGGCATGGGGCCTTCCCGAGGAGTTGGAGAAGGAGCCAGGTGATCCCATGGACGTGGCGGTGGGAGAGGGTGGCGTGCCCCCACCGTTGGACTCGGCGGCCGACCGCTCGTCGAGTGCGGACTTCGCGGCTGACCTTCTTCGCTTGGCAGGCGTGGATGCCCCCCAGGAGGAGACTCAGGCTGACTTGGGTGCCGATGACGGTGCCCGCGAGGCTACGCGGTTTTGATGTCCTTTCGTGTTGGCGGCCCCTTATCTTTATTTAGTTGCTTGAATAGACTATCTCTTTTGCTTTGTTTAGATTGGTGTTATCTCGTTGCTCGGGTTGTCGCCCATACGCTTCTTTTGTTTAGTTTGTTTGCACCAGACTTCTTGGCTTCGCCATGACGTTGTTTGCTATGACACTGCTCGTCTATTTTGTCTTATACTTCTGTCTGTTTTACTTGCGCATTTATCTTGATCGCTCCTCGTCATGACTTGCCTTGTGCCCGCCAACGCGGGACTAAAGAACTCTGGCAACGCGAGAACTTAGCTGGCCCGCCAACGCGGTATCAGCCAGCCCGCCATCGCAGGACTGGCCGACCTCTCGAGGTCGACCGGCCGACCTCTCGGGATCTGCTGCTGGGTTGCCCGTCCGGCGGTGAGCGAGGTCGGACCTCGTACCACCTCTATGGTGTTGGGGTTGCGTTACGCCCGTCTGGCGATAGGTGAGGCCGGACCTTATATCGCCCCTAGGACGTCTTAGCGATTCTTGGGATGGAGTCCAATGACTCGCGTCCCGAATCCTTCCGTTCGGCGGTAGGCGAGGACGGACCTCGTACCACTCCTAGGGTGTTGAGGTTGCGTTACGCCCGTCTGGCGATAGGTGAGGCCGGACCTCATATCGCCCCTAGGATGTCTTAGCGATTCTTGGGATGGAGTCCAATGACTCGCGTCCCGAATCCTTCCGTTCGGCAGTAGGCGAGGACGGACCTCGTACCACCCCTAGGGTGTTGAGGTTGCGTTACGCCCGTCCGGCAACAGGTGAGGCCGGACCTCATATCGCCCCTAGGACGTCTTAGCGATTCTCGGGATGGAGTTCCATGACTCGCGTCCCGAATCCTTCCGTTCGGCGGTAGATGAGGCCGGATCTCGTACCGCCCCTAGGGCGTACGTTATGTCTAATGTGGTCGTCGGGCTCTTCGCGTACGCGACCGTCATGTTCGGACTCTCTAGCGCGCATGTCCTTCGGAAGGCCGGCTTTACTCCGACCCAACCTGCGCCGGCCGACCTCGCGCTGGCCGACCTCGTGTCGGCCGGCCTTGGGGTGCCCGAGCGCCCGACTCTGTGTGTGTCCATGCTTGTCCCCAAGTCGGGATATATAGGATAATTGTTCAACAACTTCGTTATTCCATTGCGAATGTAAACAAACGTTATTGTGGGAAACCTGGCCTTTTATTGGGGAGGGGACAGGTCATACAAATGAATTTCTACTGGTAAAACTTCAACAAGTGCTCCGAGTTCCACACCCTGTCTACCACCTTGCCCGATGTGGTCCTTAGCTTGTAGCTGCCTGGTCGTACTATGGCGTCAATAACATATGGTCCCTCCCATTTCTTTGCAAATTTGCCTCCATCTTGGGGTCGGCTCGCCTCCCTCCTCCGGAGGACGTAGTCGCCAACCTGGATGTAACGGGGTCGGACTCGGTTGTCATGGTAAGTTTTTGTTTGACGCTGGTAATTTTCTGCGCGGACCATGACCTCCTCCTTTCTGTCGTCGATGAGGTGGAGGTCGGCGGCGTGGTGTTCCTCATTGAGGTCGGGGTCGTATATTGCAACCCGATAGGATGGTATCACAGGTTCGGTGAGAGCCCGTGCTTCGAACCCGTATGCCAGCGCGAATGGTGTCTCCCCAGCGGCCCTTCTTGGGGTAGTGCGGTATGCCCATAGGACGGTGTCCAGCTCCTCTACCCACGTTCCTCCGGCTGCGTCCAGGTTCTTTTTGATGCCGTCGACTATAGTTCTGTTGGCGTTCTCCACCTTCTCGTTTGCCTGCGGGTACGCCACCGCCACGCGGGTGTGTTTTATGTACCACTGGTCGTAGAATGCTTTAAATTCTTTGCTTTCAAACTGACGCCCGTTGTCGGAGATGATTTGCATGGGGACCCCAAAGCGGTACAAAATGTTCCTCCGTATGAACTCCGTGCACCGGGTACTTGTGATGGTGGCGAGGGGCTCCGCCTCAACCCACTTTGTAAAATGGTCTATGGCGACTATTATGTACTTCCTCTTCGCGGACCCCATGGGTAGGGCCTCGACGATGTCGATCCCCCACCGTGAGAACGAGATTACTGTGCTGATAGGCGTGTAGTTGGTCGCTGGCCATCCCGGCTCTGCGTGAAAGTGCTGGCAGGTCGGGCACCCCCGGGCGTACTCCGCGCATTCCTTTGCCATGTTTGGCCAAAAGTACCCCTGCAATAGAGCCCTCCTCGCCATGGCAAAGGCTCCTTGGTGTGCAGCGCAGGTGCCTTCATGTATCTCCTCTTTGACGGACTTGGCTTCGTCCGGGTATAGGCATCGGAGGAGGGCGCCGTTGTACGACCTTTTGTAAAGGGTGTCTCCAAGGAGGACGTATGTTGGTGATCTCCTCTTGACCACCTTGGCGGCTGCCTCGTCTGCTGGCAGGGTACCTGTTCTCTTATACTCAATGAGGTGGTCCAACCAGCATTGGGACCGCGTCTGTATGGGGAGGACGGGGTAGGCCTCCAGGCTGGACCTCTGGAGGTCTTCAATCCGTGATATCTTGGACACATGCTCCGGGGTGCCGAGGCCGAGCTTGGAGAGCAAGTCCGCGTCCCCGTTTTGACTTCGGGGTACCTGTAAAATTTCGTAGAGGGTCAATTGACCGAGGACCTGGAGTACCATGTTGCGGTATCTCCTCATCCTCTCCTCGTTGGCCTCGAATTCACCATTCACCTGTCCGACCACCAGTCGGGAGTCGCACCGCACCCTTATTTTGGAGGCCCTCAGACTCAATGCCAACCTGAGGCCACCCAGCAGCGCCTCGTATTTGGCCTCATTGTTGGACAGCTTGAAGTGAAAACGAAGGGCGTAGTAGGCCCGGAACCCTTCCGGGGTTACGAGGACCACCCCTCCGCCACACCCTTTGGGGCCGGACGAGCCATCCGTGGACAGGGTCCACCAATCTTCCTCATCGCTCCGGGCTAGTTCGGCGGCCTCGCGAGCGGAGCACTCGACTATGAAGTCGGCGAGCGCCTGCCCCTTGATCGCGGGTTGGGGCTTAAACTGGACATCATATTGGCTCAATCGCATGGACCACTTGACCAACCTGCTTGCCGACCCGGAGGCCCTTAATACTGCCTCGAGGGGTGTGCTTGGAAGTAATGCCCGAGCTTCTTGGTCGTGGCGTCCACGGAGAAGATCGCTTTCTCCATGGGTGAGTACCTGAGCTCGGCGCCTCGGAGGGCTCTACTCACATAGTACACCGGGCGTTGGGTTCCTGGGTCATCCCGGACCAGTACGGAGCTGATCGCGGCCTGCGAGATGCCCAAGTACATATACAAAACCTCCACTTTCTCGGGTTTGGCCAAGGGGGGTAGCGTCATGAGGTACGTCTTGAGGTCCTCGAAGGCTCTCTGGCATTCGTCTGACCACTCGAACCCCTGGTTCTTCTTGAAGACTCCGAAAAACGGCAAGGACCTCTCGGCCGACCTTGAGAGGAATCGGCCGAGGGTCGCCAGCCGACCATTGAGACGCTGGACCTCGCGGAGGGACCTCGGAGGTTCCATCTCCAGCATGGCCTTGACTTTTTCGGGGTTGGGTTCAATACCCCTCTTTGAGACCATGTACCCCAAGAATTTCCCTTCGTGTACCTCAAAAGTGCATTTCTTGGGGTTCAAACGTAAATCAAAATGCCTCATAATGGAAAATACCTCGGTCAAGTCGGCTATGTGTAGGTCGGCCTCAGTGCTTTTCACAATCATGTCGTCCACGTAGGCTTGCAAGTTCTGGCCGAGGACCTTCTTGAACACCTTGGCCACCATTCTTGTGTACGTGGCTCCCGAGTTTTTGAGCCTGAACGCCATGACCCGATAGCAAAAGACCCCTTCAGGGGTGGTGAACGCCGTCTTTTCTTCGTCATCCTCGTGCATAAAAATTTGGTGGTACCCCCGGAAGGCGTCTAGGAAGCTCATGAGTGCGCATCCCGCTGTTTCGTCCACCAGCTGGTCTATGTTGGGTAGTGGAAAGGGGTCCATGGGGCATACCTTGTTGAGGTCCGTGTAGTCCACACACATCCTCCACGTGGGCGGTTTGGGTGCGAGGACTACGTTCGTAAGCCATGCCGGGTATGTGACCTCCCTGATGTGCCCGATTTCGAGGAGGGTGTCGACCTCCTTCTTCACAAACTCCCGTCTATCTGCGGCGAGGTAGCGCTTCCTTTGTTGGACAGGCTTAGCTTTGGGGTCCACCGCCAATTTGTGCGTGATGACCTCCCGGCTGAGGCCCGGCATGTCTTCGGGACCCCAAGCGAACAAGTCTTTATAGCTGCGGATGACCTCGACAATCTGACCTCGGAGGTCGACCGGGAGGCCCGTGCCCACCTTCACCATCTTGTCGGGTCGGCTAAGGTCCAAGATGACCTCTTCCGTCTCCACCACGGGTTCGGCGCGAGGCCGTTTCTCTTCTTCCCGGAGTGCCCTCTCGGTTACTGTGTGTACCTAGAGGTCCTTCCTCGTTATTTGGCGGCAGGCCTTCAAGTAGCAGCTCCGACTAATCTTCTGGTCTCCTTGCGCGATGCCCACTCTAGTGGGGGTAGGAAATTTGAGGCAAAGGTGCTCCATGGAGATGACGCACCTGAGGTCCTCCAAGGCAGGTCTGCCGAGGATGATGTTGTGGGCGCAACTGATCTTCACCACCACGAACTCTACCTCCCATGTCTTGACGTGCGGTGGGGTGCCGATCTGCGCCTCAAGGGTGACGGATCCCTCCGTTTCAATGGAGTCTCCGGTGAAGCCGGATAGCGGGGTCCGAACCTGGGAAAGCTGCTTCCTGGATAACCTGAGATGCGTGAAGGTGTCATCGTACAAGACGTTCACGGAGCTCCCCGTATCTACCAGTACCCGGTGGACAATGATGTCTTTGAGCTCTAACCTGATTACCAATGCGTCCCGGTGGGGTAGGGGGCCATCCGGGAGGTCGTCGTCGGTGAACGTTATGGGCTCCCTGCGTGTCCTCTTCTCATGGGGTGCTCGGACGATCTCCCCTACGTACAGGCTCCGCGCCCACTTCTTCCTCTCGGCGGGTGTGTCTCCTCCCTCCGGGCCGCCAAAGATGACATGGATGACCTTCTTCTTTGGTGGGCTGTCTGGCTCGGTCTCCTCGTCATCCGTGAGTTGGCCGAGCTCTCTCTTGCGCGGGGCAGAGGTAGAGGGCCCGACGCCATCCTTCTTCTTTCAGGCGTTGTCGGGGCCTTTAGCGTGGTCTTGCCTGGACCTCTTCACGTACTGCCCCAGGTATCCTCGCTGAATGAACTCCTCAATCTGCCTCTTGAGGACCATACATTCGTCGGTATCATGCCCACGTTGCCGATGGAAGCGGCAGTACTTCATCGGGTCGGCCTTGGGGGAGATCTTTAAGCACTCCTCGGGGAACGACACGATGCCCATGTCCTTTGCGTGGTCCAGGATGACGCTTACAGGTTGTGTCAACGGGGTCAGGTGTCGTAGCGGGGCTAATCAGGGACCCCGGTCACGGCGTGACCGGGGAGGGCGGCGGTCCTCTTGAGGTTGAGGTGCCCTGTCGCCTCGTCCGTGGCCTTCCTCCTCTTCCTTCTTCCTCTTTTCGGCTGCCTCCGCGTTAGCGTACCGCGCGACGCGGTCCATCAATTCTGTGTACGTCTTCATCTCATTCCGGACAAGGTCGCTGTGGAAAGGACCCGACCTGAGGTTGTTGGTGAAAAACGGGATGGCAGACCTTTCGTCAAAATTCGTCACCCCCATAGCTTCCATCTTCCACTTACTCAGGTACTCCGCCAAAGATTCCGACTTATCTTGCTTCAGGTAATATAGGTCGGCGAACTGCTTCCGCCGTTGAATGCTGCCCGCGATGTGTGACATGAACTTCTTGGTCAGGACCGCAAAAGTGGGGATGGAGTCCCCTGGCAAGGACCCGAACCAATCCTGGGCCTGCCCATCCAGAGTCGTGCAAAAGCCGCGACACATGATGGCGTCATTAACGCCTGTCATCATCATGATTGCCTTGTACCTGTTGAGGTGGTCCCGCGGGTCCGTCGCCCCCATGTAAGGTTTGATGGTTAGGAATCGGAAGTCCCGAGTAGGGGCTCGACCATGATGGCCCCCATGAAGGGTGTGGCTAGGGCGTCCCGGGGCTCCGGTGACTCGTCGCGCGCCCCCATCTTGCGCTGCAACTCGCGCTTCGGTCGGCGCAATTGTTCCATCTCTTCACGCTAGGTGCTCGGTGGTTGGCCTCTGGTCTCCCCCGAGCGTTCCATTGGTGGGGTCGGCTCCCGCGGCCCCGGGATACGAGGTTCGTGGCTCCGGGACCTCCGTGAGCACGATGACTCCTCTTGCCTGGCGTGTGTGGTCGGCCTCGGCCCTAGGCGGTCTCGCGCCAGCGCACGCAGGCCCAACCGCCCGAGCGCGGAGGTGGTCCGCGCTGGCCGAGTCCGCCTTTCCTCTCGCTGCTCGTGTCGGCCTCGGGTGGCCTCCGCCCCGTCGCGCCACTCAGAAGGTCGTGGTGAATTGAATTCCCCCTCAGCTAGTGCCAGGGGTCCCGGGGTGCGTGAGTGCTGGGGCCACTGCGCACCCTCAGAGGGGGCGGAGGTGGGGGTGCTGGGTCACCCCGGCGCAGCCCTGCCGCGACGCGGTTGAGCGCGTTCGCCGCCTGCTCCAGTATGGCGGCATCTTCCTGGGAGGTCGGGACCTGCGGTGGCGCGGGTTGCGCTGTTCCGCCGAGGGGGCGATTGTTGGTGAGACGACCTCGGAGGTCCTCCACGGCCCCCTGCCGACTCCCGTTGATCTGATCTCGGAGGTCCCTTCCTGCCATCACGGGCATGGTCTGCCGACTTGCCGTGGTCCCGTTGGGATGGTTGGCGAGTGAGAGGTCGCGCGTGTTGCGCGAATCCTGCGAGTTGTGGGTGTTCGACCCGGATCTTGTCATCGCTGCGGATGAAGGACAATAGGGAGAGCGCTTAAGCTTGTACAGCAGCTCTCAACGAGAGCACTAATGATGGATTGTATGAACTCGGGGGTCCGGATTATATAGCCCGAATATATGTTTGAATATAACGAACGAATAATGAAACGGTAAATATTATATTAATTGGATATAAAACACTATTACAGAGGTTAGAGACGTGTAATAACAAGAAAAATGTTGTAGGAAAAGTATGAGATGCCTAATTAGGACACCGGGGGGTGTTTATATACTCCCCGGCTGCTACGGGCCCTGGGCCCGCGGGAGGAGCCACGGTCCGCGCCGCGGGACTCGCTCCACGCGAGGACCCAGCCCTTGGCCGAGCACGGAGCTCGGCCGAGCCCACGGGGGCCAAGGCCGAGCCCACGTGGCTGAGCTCGGGGAGGTCGGCCCACGCCGACCCCCACTGGGCCGACCCCGGGGTGCTTCGTCCTGCATTGCGGGTGGGCACGGGGTCCGACCCGGTTCGTATTGTCCTGCTTCGCTCCGGCTCCATGATTATTCCATCAGTATCAATTTCATAATTTCTCCCTGTTAGAGCAAGTCCTTGTCTTAGCCTTCTATACTTTAATGTTTAAAACCTTTCCAAAGTTATTCTCTGAATTAAAATATCTTACTGCATTTAAACCATTATTACTACAATGAGATTTTGGGGATAGATAGCATGTCATGCAATATCCCCGTATTTGTAATTTGTGTATAATTTTACTATGCACAAGACTGGGATAGCTACTAACAGGGTGTTTGGTTGGAGGGGAGGAAGTACGTGGGAAAGGATTTACAATTCCATGGGAGATTAATTACTGAGAATAAAGTGAGAATTTAAATTCCAGTGTTAAAATTACTGGGAATTCCAATTCCAATGTTTGGCATACATGGGAATTGAAAGGAAATAAGTAGTATAAAGTCTAAAATGTCCATTGTTGTTGTAGTAATAATTTTAAATTAAAAAAAAAAGAATAGGTAATTTTGTCTCATCACTAGCTTATTTTCTTCCTAAAATCTCAGGAATTAAAATCACAGGGAGACATGAGATTTTAATTCTATGAAAATGGGGGAATTGCAATTCCAAGGATTCCAACCAAACTAATGAATTTTATGGCCTTTGAAATTAGGTGGGAATTAAGTGGGAAGGGAATTTAAATTCACTCCCACCAAACGCCCCGTAAGTTGTGGAGTTGGAGTATAGTTAGAAAAATATGAGCTAAAATTCTATTATTAACTTTGGTTAAATAAAATTTCTGGAGAACAATGGTAAATTTAACATAATCATTTATAAAAGAACTGGAAATACTACTTATATAATCATGACTAAAAATGTTAGAACTTTTTATAATATGAAAGTGGTCACAAAACCTAAAGTAGTTCGGAGTGTTTGACTAACTTACTAATCATTTTGTGATCTTTAAAAAACTGCTTGAAGATATTACTGACTACCAATCAGTTGGTAATAAAAAAAAATCTTAACAATTAGTTTTCGAGATGGATAGTTTGATTTTTACCACTAGTGGTTAGGATTTTTTTTTGTATTTTTTTTTTTTTGTTTTTGTTTTTTTTTTTTTTGTATGTTTGTTTGTTTTTGCCAACCATGGTGGAGGCCAGTAAAAACACAATGATTTTCAGCATAAACTAAGTAATTTGCGGCAAATTATGCTGTGGAATCGTGTCCACCTTGCAAGTGGACACGATTTCAAAACTATTCATAATTATAAATATATAGTTAAAAAAATTATGAATATATAGTTTTATAATTATTAACATAGAGTTGTGAACATAATTATGAATATATAGTTATGTAATTATGAATATAGAGATCCAATAATTGTGAATATGAAGTTCAAAAATTATGAATATATAGCTTTATAATTATGAACATAGAGTTCTATAATTGTGAATATAGAGTTCTATAATTGTGAATATAAAGTTCAATAATTATGAATATGAAGTTCACAAATTATGAATATATAACTTTATAATTATAAACATATAATTTAATAATTATGAACATAGAACTGTGTCCATCTTGCAAGGAATACACGATTTCACAGCATAATGATTGGTAATTTGCAGGCCTGGGCATTAGAAACTCATAGATTTCTGATGATTGGGTGGACAATTTTATGTTTTAAAATTTTATAAGTGGTAATACCTATAATATAAATATAAAATGGACTATAATTCAATAATTAAAAATGTCATTCTCTTTATGAACGATATATAAATCAAACTAATATTAAAGGTAAAAACTTGTGTGAGACTGTATCACGCATGATGAATCTACAATGGAGACAGTTGCACACACACGATAATATATATATATATATATATATATATATATATATATATATATATATATATATATATATATATATATATATATATATATATATATATATATATATAGATTTTGGATCCGGTGCACCCCCTTTGGCAGATGAGGTCGTGAGCCCCTTTTATGACCCTTAATTAGTTTAGATGAATGGTCCAGATGAGTTGGGCTTTTTTGCCACGTGCATCAGCTTTGTGAGGACAAAAGGGCTTGTTTTGTAATTTCACCGTGGCTTTTATTATAGCATGTATTTAATTTCGCCTGGGATTGTGCGTGAGTATTTCAACCCTTCGTCTTCTTTGTCTGGCTCTTCCATCCATAGTCGAACTCCCGCTCTCTGTCTCTTCCATCCATTTTCGACCTCCATAACTTTCTCCCTCTCCATCACAACTCCCGCGGTCAACATGGTTGGGTCAACTGTCCGTCGATCTAAGAGGCAACGTAGGGCTACCAGTGGTTCCATTGAAGGTATTCTCAAACCCCCTTTTTTCGTTTCGTTTTTTCTCGCTAGGGGTTGGGGGCGCTTTTTTGCTACTGTATTTGTGGTATTGTTGGTGGGTTCTATTGTGTTTTGGTTTCTGGGCGGTCGCTGCATGCATAAGGTGTTCGTGATTTTGGTGGCAGTTAGAGGAGGCGGCGTCTGTGTAGATACGATTTAGGGTTTTGTGGTTATTCATATGTTATTCTAACATTGGGGTTTTTTGAGGTTTTAGGGTTCTGTAGTCAAGTAATTCTAATAGGGATGTTAGGGTGTGTTGCATGTGGGCGGTGGTAGTGATTTCCGGCGGCATTGTGATATCCGACGGCATTGATGTGTTATGGTTTTCATCTTTTTTCTTCTCTGTAATTTCTCTGTTTTCATCTTTCTTTTTTTCACTGTATTTTTCCCCCCCCTGTGTGTTTGAGCGGTTCTAGTTAGTGTTTTTACATTTTAGGGGATGAGTGGGCTGGTATATGGTGTGTTAAAGCTTTAGTGGATGTTATGATGTGTAAAATATTTTTCTCTGAAATTTGATTGGTCTGTTATTTGTTTTGTATTTGATGTATGGGGGTGGGTTAGTTCTTGCGGTTTGTATGTGTACTAATGCCTGGAATATTACATTGCTTGTGCATATAGTGGTTCTGGTATGTGCGTTATGTATGTGTCACTATGCTAGTGCATTTCGTGTATATCTTTCATTGTTTCCATTGGTTTATGCTTGGGATGTTGGAAAATGCGGTGTTATTTATGTTAATTTGCATTTATAATGTTTATTTAGGGTGATGCAGTGTGGTATATAGTATGTGCATTGTACGTATATAATATCTGCGTTCCAGTGTAGTCGGTGTATAATGTTGATTAGTATGTGCATATAGATGTTCTTGTAGCTGCGTTATACATGTTCATACATAATTATGTAGATTTATTATTGTGGTTTTAAATTTTAATTTTTTTGCATTTTAATTCTTCAGTGCTTTGTTTGTAGTTTAATGCAGTGTCATACACATATTTTTCAAATAAAGAATATATTAGGGATGTGTCACAATGGGTATGTGCGAAGAAGTGACTATGCGAGTGCATTTCGTGTTTAGCCTTAATTGTTTTCATTGTTTCCATGTTAACAACTTTTTCATGCATATTTTGTGCATTTAGATGTTATGGTATGTGCATTTTTATGTGCTGCGTTATACATGTTCATACCTAATTAGGTAGATTTACTATTGTGGTTTTGAAATTTTAATTTTTTTGCCTTTTAATTCTTCAGTGCTTTGTTT